GTTAATAACTTTTCACAATCTTTTACTACTTCACTTGACGATAACTTAAATCTTTTATTAACTGACTGCCTGAGATTTAGCGTAAGCAAAAAATGTATACGCTCTTTTACCGCCGCGATAACTAACAGCTGCATCAGCCTCGTTTTCACATTGTCTCCGGTATGTACAGAAACACAATTTTTACCATAAGATAAACTCCTTTTTAAGGATTTTCAAAAACGCCGTCAGTCACAATCATACTTGATAACACCAGTTTCGAAGGAACGCGTCCCGCGTCCCCACTTATGTCGAAATAACGCGCACATCGAAAACACTTGCATCTTCTAGCAGCGATAAGAACACATGCGTTAATTAAATTTCGTCCGATAAACTCATCGCAAAAGGCGATGCCCTATAAAGTATTCTAGACCGCATCTTGTTTGAATGCAAAAATTTGAAAAACTGCAAAAACAATTGGGTGAACAGTTAGTAGCAAGAAAAATATCGGGTCCTCACAATGTTATGTCAATTCTTGCATATAGGTAATAACGAAAACGCCTTTTCATGCTTAATCGAATTTTTGGCAGATGGAAATATCACCATCGCCAAAAATCTTTTTTATTTTGTTCATCAAGCTAGTTTGAGTTATTGAGTCTAGATTTTTTAAAGATAAAGTGAACTTTCACGAAACTGTCAGCGATTGTTAAGTGCGCCTGATTTATTCACAACTAGATTATTTGGATTATTTAAAAAAGAAAGAAAGCTGTAAGTAATTTTAAGATTTTGGTAATTATCGAACGCCTGCGTGCGGGGTAATTTGTTTGAATAAGCTTCTGACAGGAATTTTTTCTTCATTTTTTCATTTAATGTGTTTCGGAATAAAATTCGATCAATTAATTGTGTGGTTATTCGAACCCATTGTGCGACGCGAATGGAGTGTTCATGTCCGATTTTTATTTTCTTATGCTATTTCTTAAGATTTATTTCAGGTGTTGATAAAAATTTGCTTAGTAAATTCTTTGGAATTTTCGGAAGTTGATCGAGGACACTGAGTGACAAAACCTTTAGTTTAAGTCAATAAGAGAATTTTACTTTATAGCAGATGCCGTAATTGTTAAGAGGTGAAATTTTAAATGTTCTACGTTTTAATTTTAATTGGTTTCAGCTAGTTGGACAGGTGTTTTGTGTGGTTAACTGCACGCCATTGCACACAGAAATACTTTTATTTTTCATTTGCCTATTATATGTCAATTATATCTGTCATATGTGATATATAAAGCCCAGGGGCATAATGAGAGGGCATAATGGATTGTCATCTCATTATGCCCTCAAACGGCCTGTCAAATTGATTGATGGAGTTATATTATATAATAAAAAAGATGCAACTTGAT